GGCCCCTCCCGTGCAGATTTGACTATAAGAACTGTGGATGCAAAGGGTGTGCCCAGGACGAATTCAACCCGGGTAGGGGTTTAACTTCCTCAAAACGAAAACAAAAGAAGGGGGGCTGTGCCTGCAGAAACATCAGGGCCGGTGGAGGCGCAGGGCAGGAAACAGGGCCGGTCCAGGCCCGGTGGGTGGCACCCTTCACTCTCCGGTGAGCCTGGTGTCCACCTTCCTTTGCGTACATCTTGTCAACCGTCTGGCCTTTCAGAGTAGAAGGTTCCACAGCACATGCACTTGACCTCTACCAGTCGTCCTCCCAGCACTGATTCAGTGACGATAACTCAACAGAGAGAAGAGGATGTGGCTTCAATCTGAACCCTGACATCACAGGAGCCCCTGCTCTTCACGGAAATGGCTGCCGGAGAGACGGGCCCCGTTCCCCCAGGAGCCCACAGCACCCTGGGAACCGCTCACCATAGTTTCGTCAATGACGCTAGGACCAGCTGTCCATCAGTAAGAGCCCGCCTCACCCTGTGAGTCGAAGTATCCTCTCCTTGAACTTTCACAACCACCTCTCAGGGATGCCCCTGTCACTTCAGCTCGGAGGAAGCTGCAGCGTAGAAGCGTTACATCGCATAGCCACGATCAGGTGGCTCATTGTGGTAGAGCCAGAATTTGAATCTCGAGCCTCAGTCAAAATAAAACAGAAGCAGGAGAGTCTGAGATGCTGCTACTGCAACCCAGAGGTGGACGGCACAGGCACACGGGCTTCGGGTCGAAGGCAAGGCTGAGTGCCATCTGTGTACAACGTCTGCAGTGTGACTGTGGGCAATGACTTCCGGTGTTGGCAGTGCCACTCGATGGCTGACCATGGACTCAGAGTTCCAGGTGGTCCAGGACGAAAAGTCTACGCGTGGGAGCCGCCCACAGGCAGATCTCCTTGTGGACCGGGTGTCGCCAATTCCAATGGGTAATGCCTGTGCCTCCAATCACTTTCAAGGGCATCAAGGAAGGACACGCCTATCTCTGAGAAGACTAATGTGCAAACATTTGAAGATTAATAATAAAGCAGCCCTTCCAAGTCTCTTCTATGCTTTTCCCTCTGAGGACCATGCATGAAGGTGCAGAAAACAGGCAAATGCCATCATTTCCCTTCTAAAAGTCTTTCAGCTCCAACCCGTTTCCCCACATTGTCTATCAGGAGAGGAGGACGCTTCGGTCTTACTGAAACGCCCATGGGTTAGGTCCTAGTTACCAGATAGAAGGTGAGATCTGTCAGCAGCGAGGCCCCCACGAGGTCCCAGGGCCCCTGCAGGACTCCTGTTCCCTGTAGGCCACTGTGTGGGCCCCGGAGACTCGTCTGCTGGGAATCAGGAGGGATAACTATGATTGATACGTGACAAACCAGGGTCTCACTCTCTGCAACCGAGGTTCAAAACCAAAACAACACTAAGAAGGAAAAGGCTACTAGGCATGACTCCCTTTTTACAAACACTTGACAGTTGGTTTAAAAAAAAGTCTTAGCAGCTACTGATGAGGACACTGAGTACGACCTTCTCAGACCTATCAGACGGAGACACTTGCCATGTTCAGAACAGCAAGTCCCCTGGGACTGCAGCAGGCCATGGGGCTCTGGGGTGAAGTGACAGGATTTCCAGGCTAGTGCCATCATCAAACAGGTTGTGTGACCTGGAGCAAGGTCACTTCACTCCTGTGTGGCCATCACCACCCATCAGATGGGGCGGTTCTCCTCTCCCGTGGCCCCTCGGGAAAGCAGGGCTGCAGGGACCACGTGCTCTTAGACATGCGAGGGACAGATGACAGGCTAATGCTTTCTTTTTCTAAAGGCAAATGCTCCTTAAAATGCAAAACGGCTTAGCTTTGATATGTTTGCTCCAGGGAACGGTTCTGGGTTCCCAACCATATGGGACACTTCTTCTAGTTCTTTCTAGCAAGGGTCATGCTCTTTTGCAAAAGTCAAACATAACTCTGAAGCGAACACCAGTGATCTCCGTCCTCCTGTTGGAAGCTTCTTGCATCTTGGTGTGTCTTCCTGAGGCGCTAGGACATCAAGGATTTGGGCTTTGCCAAGACATGCTCCTTGGCAACCCTTCGACCCATTGTCATAGAGGCCAGGGCAGGCCAGGCCTGGGGAAGGCCCCACAAAGGCGAGTGTGAGCTCTGCCTCAGCCCCTACTTGCTGCCAGCTGGCTGTGGGCACCGGAGCAAGCTCACCTCTGGGCTTGGCTCCCCAGGCCCTTGGGGACTCCCAGACGCCACTCCTGCTCTACGTCCTGTGACCTGGGACGTCCACCCTACTCTGCTTCACTTCACAAACACACATGTACCATGGTGAGCCATGGCTGGACCTGCCACCCCAGGTGCTTGCTGATGCCTGAAACTCCTCTCTGAAGAGAGACGATCAAAGATGGTGCTTCAAAAGGGGATCCCAGAGACGGGCATCCACCTGCTGTCCTACTCCATCTGTCGGGTAAGTGGCTTTCTTGGGAGCTGTCTCATCAGAGAATCTGCCCAGGCAATTGTTCCTTCCCATCTGAGACACCCCCGCCCCCATGCTGCCCTTCGGAGCCCCCGCCAGTAACCCGGACATGTGATTGTCACCTCTCCAGTTTACAGGGAGAAGTAAGTTACAGGATAACCTCAGAGAAGGACCTTACAGATGCCACCAAATATTAACTCTTGCATTTGTAGTTTACATTTGGATACATCTCCAAGAAAGGCGGAACACAGGAGGGCAAAATCTCACTCATACGTGGAATCTAATAAACAGAATAAACTGATGAACAAAACAGATCCAGAGACACAGAAGCATAGAACAGACTGCTGAATCTTAGGGGGAAGGCAGGGGTGGATGGGTGGGAAGAGATCATCCGAAGAACTGTATGCATATATGCATATCCCCAGGACACAGACAATAGGGTGGTGAAGGCCTGAGAGAGGTGGGGGGGGAAGGGGAGGGAGGAGGGCAGCTAGAAGGGGTCAGTAGAGGAAAAAGGGGGACAATAATTTTTTTTTTTTAAGGATGCCTTTTCAGATATAGATCCACCTTCCAAATGAGAATACTCAAAGAAGCACATACCTGAATGTTATGGCTCAGAAAGAGCCAATATAACATCCAGGACAGAGATAAGGACTGGAGGCTGGGGGAGGGGACCAGCTCAGGTCACACCAGATATTAAAGGCAAGACCAGGTAAGGGCCTGGGCCTCCAGGCTCCAAGGGCAGAAGCCTCTGAGTTGCAGAAAAGATAAGCATCCCCCACACTCTTCAGTGATGGCGAACCTTTTGAGCCCAGAGTGTCAGCATTTTGAAAAACCCTAACTTAACTCTGGTGCCGTGTCACATATAGAAATTTTTTGATCTTTGCAACCATAGTAACACAAAGACTTATATTTTTGATATTTATTTTATATATTTAAATGCCATTTAACAAAGAAAAATCAACCAAAAAATGAGTTCATAGGTTCGCCATCACTGCTCTAGATCTCAGAGTATCTCTCTCTTCTTCAGTTTGTTAATAAAACTAAAAGTCATTCACTATCAAGACCTGGATGTAACTGCCACAGATACCTCTGACACCCCTTAATGGGTATAAATATGGAACGATACCCAACCTCTGTGGGCCTGGGGAACCCAGTGGCGTCTGCACTTTGTACACCATCTGGATTAAACGCTCACGGAATTATTCCACTTGGGTTACGCAGCCACAGGCCCTCTTCCCTTGTTAATCCCCAAATGCTTCCCAGGCATTTACTTCCCAATCAGCTCAAAGCGCATGAGGGAAAACCCACGCCCACGCCACTGGATCTGTCTCATTCAGATGCCTATAAGCAACAGCCCAAAAATATCACAGGCCACTGGGGCGGAAGGTAGCAAGCCCTGTGCAGACACACAAAAGGCATTCCAGAAATGCGAGCTGCGTGAGTGACGCGTGCTGGACCTGCATTCAGGCGGTGTGCAACAGCTGTGACAATGGACTTGCACGCCACTATCCACTTTCCCAACAGGCGGCCCTGAGGATTCCGTGACCTCACGCACGTAGGCCCTCTAGGACAATTCTTGGAATAGTCAGCGATGAAGATAAATCAGCTGCCTCCACCCCCCACCCCCCTAAAAAAGCACATTATTAGAAAGGAAAAAGGAACTTGAAAGAGTTTTTTCAATCAAAGTCAGCTGGAGGAGAAAGCAGGGCCCCCGTGGGGTCTGCTAAATAGAATGTAATGAGTTAATGGAAGAACCAGAAATGGAAGCCAGATGCCCAGCATCCTGTCCAGCTGTCTCCAAAAATAACCGGGACCTTCGCGGGCTGTGGATGTGCAGCAGCAGGCTCCTCACCTGGAGGGCCGGTCCTGCCCACGTTGCCTATGACATATTCCTCCTTCAAGTCTTGGCCCCAGAGTCATCGCTCTTATAAAAAACCTCTGGACTCTGCATCCTGGTTGGTACCGCCATCCCAGTTCCCAATCCCATCTGACCCACTACCTACCTTTATTTAGGGCCTGTAACACCATCTTTGAAGGTCAGTTGACTAGTTAAATGTATCTTGCTATTCATAGCACTGAGAACTGTGACTAATACTATATATTGAGGAAATATCCATTGAAGGAGGGAATGAATGAATGAATGAATATTAAAGGATGGATGCCAGGCACTGAATGTGCTGAAGGTAGAGTTTGGAAAATCTTTCCTCATTCACACTGAAAATGCCACCCAGGCTGGCAGCCACCTTCAGAGTTCAGAACACCAAAACCAAAATAATTAGCAGGTCACAACATACTCTGCACCTGTCCTTGGAGCATCGGATAACACCTTGGGAGTCAGGGGTGACTACTTTCCAAGGGCACGTCAAGCCTGATGATACTCACGCCTTTGTCCCTCCAGGCTGTCTTCCCCACACCCAGCCCACAGGCAGCAGAACAGCCTCCGCGCAGCTCTCAGCAGGCTGCTCAGAGCAGCCGTTGTGGTGTGGATGGAAATGAGACTCACCTCTCTTCGTCCTTAAAGATGAATTTCCGTAGCTTGAGGTCACGCAGCACCAGCCCCCCGTCGTGGCAGTGGGCCACGGCAGAGGCGATCTGGTAGAACAGTCTGGCCGCCTCCTCCTCCCTCAGCTTCTTGCACGTGCGGACGAAGGAATGCATGTCCCCATAGCTCCGCTCAAAGAACACATAAGCTTTGGTCTCCCCCAGGAGAATCTCGGTGATTTGGTTGATGTTGCTGTGGGCAGACAGGCAAAAGCACGGGGCCAGGGACTCCTGGTAGCAGCTGATATCAAACACCTAGGGCAGAATGAACAACAAGACCAAGAGTCAGAGGGGCTCTTGGACGGCCAATCACAGCATGCGAGCACCTCCCACGGGAGCCAGCTTCTGCGATGACAAAGGGTGTGCTGACCTGGAACCCAGACCACCCTGGGCCTGTGTCCTGCCAGCTGTATGCCCTTGAAGAAGTCGCTGGACCACTCTGGGCCTCCCAGATGTCATATGTAATATGGGCAAATGCTATTTGGGAGGGTGATATGAAAAAGTGAAGGTAAGAGTGTTTTTTTTATATATATTTTATTGATTTTTTACAGAGAGAAAGGAACTGGGATAGAGAGTTAGAAACATCGATCAGCTGCCTCTTGCACACCCCCTACTGGGGATGTGCCTGCAACCAAGGTACATGCCCTTGACCAGAATCAAACCTGGGACCCTTGAGTCCGCAGGCCGACGCTCTATCCGCTGAGCCAAACCGGTTAGGGCAAGGTAAGAGTGTTTTTGCGAGACAAAAAAACTCATGACAAAAAGTCAGTTTTATTACTTTTCTCTCCCAATTAACTCTGTTTAAGAAGAATTAATGCAAAATCTGAGGATGACCCATCCCAAGCAACAGAGATAACACCTTATATTCCTTCCGGGAAAGAAAAAAAGAAAGAAAAGAAAAATGGACATGAACACTATTCAGCTACCTGTATAACCATTGTAGACCACATACTCTGTGCAATACAACGGAGTCCTATAGCACTATACGACACATTAGCAGTTACTAGATTACATACCCAGGCCGCCACCGCCTTCCTTTCACAGATGTGGAAATGGAGCCCCAGAGAGCAAGTCCCATCCAGCCCCTGGTGGCAGAGCTGGGAACAGGACGCTGTCCTTGCTCCGAGGAAGGCAGGCATGCTCCTCTCTCTCTTCCCTCCACAGATTCTAGCTCAATGAATCAGTTATGCAACGACTTCCTATGAATCAAAACGAGCCTGTGAAATGCCGCCTCATTGTGGGGTTATTGAAATAGAAAATCCACCCTCCACACCTTTTTGCAACAGACATGAGAGGTATTAGCCTGCAGAGAGTTCTGAGGGTGAAAAAAAATTAAAAAGCGTTCATTCATCTGCAGCCCTCCCCTGAATCAGGACCACAAAGGCCTGGGTTTGGAATGTGGTTTCACCATCTGCCTGGGAGTGCGGGTTCGAGAACCCATCCTGTGCCTGCAGGAGTCGGGGCCGGCGCGGGTGGGGTGCTTCCCTGGAGAGCGGGATCGCTCTAACAACAAGATGCTTTGTGTGATCAATGCACCATCATTTAACTTCCCGTGTTTCTCTTTCATGAGTTAAAACATGTTCTCCTTTAGCAGCATCCTGCAGGGCCGTGGGGAAAATGCTGGCCTAGAAATCACCAAATTGGAGGCTCTAATCCTGGCTGGGCCACTGCTAATCTGGATGAGGTGGGTACAAAGCATTTAGGGTCACACCCCGCCCCCTTCATAAACAGGAGACGTTGATTTAGGGCCCCGCCGACCTTTTGGGGGTCTGGATCCCACATGAGAACCTGAGAAGAGCTCTTAGCCGACAATGCCCATTCCCAAATGCACCCACGGTACTGGATTTATTTTAAGAGAAGACACAGGCGTCCTGAAACCATCCACGGATGCAGGCTGCCATCTCCAAATCCATGAGTGAAGTCACTCTCAGCTTCAAAAAATAAAACCTATGAATCAGACAGGGTGAGCAAGAGCCCGGGAAGCGCCGGTGCTAAACCCTGGGGAGGAAGCGCAGTAACTTTGTGAATGAACCATAATGAGCCATCTCAGGAAAGCCCTCGATTTTAAGAATGAGTCCTTCAGCATCTCCAGGGACCACAAATCACACCCCGAGGCTGTCAAAGGATGACCTCCGCGCGCTGACCCTGGAGGTCCATTCAATTAAGCATCTGCTACGCCTGAGTCAACTGTAACACCCAGACCCCGACTGCAGGGAGCAGGGACCCAGGCAGCCTCGGGAACCTCGGCGGGTGTGAGCGCTCTGCAGAGGCTAATGCAGGCGCTGCGCTTACATAACCGCTGCGTGTCTGCCAGCGGGCTGCAGGCTCCGTGCTTGGGGAGGTACGGTTATTTACAATATACTTCCCGTTTCAAGTGCATTTGTTAAAAATAAAAAGTGATATTTTTTTTTTGCTCACACCTTTAGTCGCTGCTCCTGCCCCATGCTGAAACACTGAATGGATGTAGATTTAAAAAAAGAAAATCGAACACCTTCATGGCAGCATCAATAGGTAGCCATAGCCTTTGTAGAGGAGACCCAATTCCAAGATGGTGGACGGAGAATGGAAAATACAGCCAGTGCGAATGTTTTCCCAAATGGGCAGGAATCAAACATTTATTAGCAGCTATAACAGGCATTATGGGCTTGGATTGGTATTTAAACCATCACCTTCAAGTGCAAAATTGAGCCATGAGCCTGGTGGGCGGCTGCTTTTGAATGTTTAATTTAGACCCTCAGGTATATAATGTGACAGTTCAGATAAAGCAGTAAGATTGGGCCATCTTTAATAGCATTTGCAAAGAAAAAGGGGGAGGGGAGGATTCTTCAAGATGGTAGTATGTCCATCTGCACAGTAACTACCTGCACTTCCATGAAAGCCAGAAGCTACAGGCCCTTAAAGCTCCCTCCCTCCCTTTGCTTACTGTAGGCATGGGG